TTTTAATTAATAATTAATAAAATCTATCATTTTTCATCCATAATACTTTTAAAAAATAAATAACCAAACACTAAAATAATTTTTAATCTTAATTATACTATAACATAATTCAATACAATCATAATTACAGTTACAATATTTCACAATAATCCTAAAGCATCCGAATTCCTTTATTTTAAACCCCCCATTGTCTATCATTTCAATAAATTATGTATTCCTAATGGTTTAATTATGATTGCGCACGTTTTGTTATAGTCAAATAACTTCGATTGGCCAACCACCTTTTATGCGCAATGGTAAGACTCTAGAGGTGTGATATTCTGATATTGATTTTTTTTACTTTAAGTTAAATCATTAATATTAATTTTTTTATCACTTAAATATATAATTGTAATGTAATTGTTTTAATAAAAAAATTTGATTGATGTTTGATTAATTTAGCTATTAAAAATAATTAATATTTATTATTTAACAAAATAAAATTGAATTAGAACATATAATTTTGTATAGGATTTATATAACATATACCATAAAGCATATCTTAAAAATATAATGAAAGTATTTTTTGTAATTAAATTACATAAAAATTATTAAATTAACATTTATTTTAACAATATTAATACATAAATGATTTTAGTTAATTAATTGATTAATTTAAAATTAACACTTATCTTTTTTATGTAAATTAATTATAAAATATATTAATTATATCCTTTAAAGTACAAATTAAAAAAATTTATATATTATAATTAATTATTAAAAAAATTTCATCAACTTTAACACATATATAATAATCAGAGTGTTTTCATATTTTTTATTCATGAACATTAAATATATGGAGTGAAGGTAATTAATCATAATATCATTTGCAGCATATATATATATGGTTGATGTGATCTTCCTGTATTTTTAGTAATTTTTGGTTAATTTATATCTTGAAGAGTTTTGTTCCCTCAAAATTTCGTTAGAGAAATGCAATCTCCCTCCGTTGTCCTACTATACATAAGCTCAGTTAAAAGAGGCCACATGGATATGTTAAGTATGGTTAAGATGGATATAGTCAATCATGGGGAGAGCAACACATGTTGAGTCCCTTAATTTTTGAGTTATTTTAAACCACACATTATCGTCGTTCCAATGAATTTCTTCATCCCCCAAAGTAATTTATTATAAGGTTCTTTTGATGTGTGTTCCTAGTGCACAGATTAAGAGCACATTTTTAACATTAATTGTCATTAAAAAAATAAAATTTAATATTTATTTAATCAATTATCTAATTAAAACAATACATATAGTATTAATGATAAAATTAATGTCAATTTTTGTTATTTTCTATAATAATTAATATAAAAAAATATTAATTATATCCTTAATTTGTGCCTTAAAGATATTCATCAAAAGTGAAAAGAAAAATTAGCTTTGAGGAAACTAATGATAACATATTTCTTTTGCCATAACAGTGATCATAACTCTAAAATTTATTTTGGACACATTATAAACCACATGCAATTAGTTTTGCAATAGACTTGGGTGCTTAGACCCCACGTACATTAATTGAAAGCCAAACAAACTCACGTATTATGGCATCAACAAAAGCTTATTTAAGGATAAATCTCAATGAGACACCTCAACCCTAACACAGGGTAAATCTTGTAATCGCGGAAACCAGCTTCAAAAAACAACTTCGCCCATTCTTCCTCCTTTCTCTCCTTACCTTGGACAATGACCAACGCCGCCAAATCAGTAAGGATTTGTGTTTCAATATTCTCTTCAACAGTCTGGTTCCCCATCACCATATCTATGATCATCACCTTCTTCTTAATTGCCTCCTTGCATCGCTTCAGTATCTTCACGCAAGAGTCATCATCCCAGTCAACCATTACCCACTGTTGGCAATATTAATCCACCGTTAATCCAATTAATACAAATTTTCAGCACTAATAGAGAAGAAAAAAAGGGCTAATTATACAATTTTTAAGGTTTCTAGTCTTTAGGTTTAGTCATTTTGACCTCTTTATATAGCATTTTGGTCTTTCAAACTCAACCAAAAGGATTTCTATAAAAAGAAAAAGAGTTAAGAGTTAGTAGGTCAACATTGGAAGGGTTCAAATTAGTAACTTTTACTTTAAATCAAAATTTTTAAATTAACAAGTACTAACTTAAGTAATTTTTTATTTTTAGTATATCAAAATTTTTATTTAATATTATAAAATTTAAACCTAACATTTAATCCAAAACCCAGATTTTTTTTAAAAGCTAAATTCATTTTGCGACTAAAATCTTGTTGGTTCAAAGACATTTTTTATTAATCCAAAAAACGAAACCGCAGACCTTAATCATTGCTGCATCTGCAGGAGGAATAGCCTCAAACATGTCACCCCCAACAAACTTCATGTTCCCGCTGTCTTCCGAGCCAGAAACCGCACGGGGTTGATCAAACACCGTGAACTGGATGTCTGGAAATGCTTTAGCAAAGACCGTGGTGATATTTCCGGTACCACCGCCCACGTCGACGACGCTACTCACTCCGTCGAATACCTCTCTGCACTTATCCAGCACCACGGTAGCAGCCAGAAGCCCGTCGGTACTCATACCTTCATAAGTCAAACTGTTTGTCTCGGGTTCAATAGCCGCAAAATCCCAAAATTTGCTTCCGTGCGCTGTGAAAAACGGGGTCGGATCATCGTTTTGGAACCAACTGCTCAAGAAATGCCATGGTTTCGTAATAACTGGATCGAGCACTAGAAGCACCATCGAACTTGCATTGAAAGGGTTGTCCTTCAGCAGAAAACGAGAAGCATCCGTGAGAACATACCCCTTTTCATGGCCATTTCCGGCAACTTCTTCTTCTGAAAAGTATCCGGAGGAAACCAGAATTCGCATGAAGCGGTAGAGATGATGGACTTTTTCTGGGTGGATTGGCAGAGCAGAAGCCAACTCCGTGATAGTCATGGGTTTACCGTAGTTGTGAATGACATCGGGAATTCCGAGTTGGACAGCACATTTCAGAGACATAGATTTTATGAAGCAGAAGGTGTGGTTCCAGACATGAGCTTGAGCTTGAAGAAGCTCGTTCACAGTCACACCATTTTTTCCTGCCAATTCCATTTTTTTTTTTTTTTTGGGAGGAAAGCAGTTGATTTGCTGTATCGCTTGGTTGATTTGAGTGATTCATTTTCTTCTTCTCCTTTATTTATAGTGGTAGACACCGACTCAAAGTTGGGCCTACAATGGATCCAAATCAACTTCACAAGAGATATCAAATTTATAATATTCCCCAATATGGTGAAAAGCACAAATTAATCGTGGAGTATCAAATTTATAATTTTTTTTTTCTTGAAAGAATTTATTATTATTAAATAGTATAAGGAATGCTCGTACTTAATTATATATACTTTGCAATTATTTCTATGTTTATCCACTTATACATATGTTGCAAGTATCAAATTTATAATTAATTCATCATATATTATGACGTAATTAACTCAAGGATACCCAATTTTTTTATAATTAGTGTTATGTCTACTAGGTGGAGTGGTGTAGTGACGCCCAAGCTACAGGGTTGCTTTCTATGTGTTGTTCCTCTGTTTCATAATAATAACGTGAGTTAATTTTTATTTTTATTTATTTTATTTTAAAAAAAATTATGATAAAATGGTTAATTATGGTTAGGTTAAATTCCCAACTTGGTCTTTCAACTATTGTATAAAGATTTGATTTGGTTCTTAAATTTAAAAAAGCTTAAATTTAATCCTTAAAATTTGAGATTTTAGCTCTTCTTTGTCCCTCCATTAACTTTTTGAATGACCTTCAAAAAAATGAATTTAGAAAGCTGTAGATTTACTCAAGATTATTAAATCTATTTCTTATGAGAACCCATCTTTGATCCCAGTTGAAAACCCGAAAAGCTTATTCAAAATTCTGTTTTAATGAGGTAATAAAATAATCACACAAAGAATGTCAAAACAGAAATAAAGCTTTCCCTTGCTTTCTACCTCCACATACCCTCTTTAATCTTAAGGATCTCCCATAAATTTAAAAAGTGCTATTTTCTTTCCTCCACCTCTTGATTAGTGAGTTGACTATGTTCCCCTTTCCAGTCTATAACTTTAATTGTCTTTGTGGCTTCTTCAGTTTTTACATCAATCTTGCAGAATTCTGTGCAGCTCCATTCTTTGATCTTGTTTTTCACTAGCTTCAATTTCTCCTTCAAAATAAACCCCTTCCATCCTTGGATTCTTGAGGAATTCCATACATCAGCTACCAAGTCCTTGAATCCTGGATGACTCAACCAAGCATCAAAGCCTTTAAAAGGTTTTGGACCCCAATTAATCAGCTATTTTTTTTAATAGAATGGGGCAATAATCTGATGCAGTACGCCTAAGTCCCCACCATTTCATTGTTGGCCAATTTAATAACCACTCTTCAGAAAGCAAAAATTTGTCAAGCCTGCTCATGGAGGGGCCATTCGATTGATACCATGTAAATTATAACCTATTAGAGGTAGATCCACCAACCCAGAAATTCTAGCAAAATTCTTGAATTCTCTTGTGGTGTTTTCCTGGGTATTGCTCCTTGATCTTTCATCTTGGTTCAAAGTAGCATTAAAATCACTCATGACACACTAGTTACCACCATTATCAGTTATTATAGTTTGCAATTCTACCCACAATTGTCTTTGTCTCCTACTATCACATGGAACGTAGACATGAATCAAATAAATTGGAATCTTCTCCATACCCCAAGAACCATTACTCCCGTGGAGATATCAAGCTCTCTCTTGTCACGTAGTTAAGTTTTGTGGTTCCAATAAAGAATGGATTGTAGAGCTTTTCTTGGCAAATTTATTGAACCTTATTTCAATTTTGGTTTTGGTTTGGATCCAGACTGTTGTTGTTAAGGTTGGTAAAAAAAAAAAAAGATTACACGTGAAGATCCGGTGAAATTCTAGTATATCACGTGTATATTTATTCCAAAGTTGGAATCAACACATGAGACTTCCAACCATCCTACTAAAGTCGGAATTAACACTTGATTACACGTGAAGTTCATGGAATCAATATACATGTGTATATTTATTCCATGAACTTGATTACACGTGAAAATTTTAATTACAAGTAATACTTATTGCCCATTAACTCTTGATTACACGTGAAGTTCGTCCCAATGTCATTATTTGAAAGAGCACTATATATTTTCCTAAAGTTATTTAGATTGACTTATAATATAAGATTACTTAAGCATAATGTAGGCTTTGTATTGGTTTAGGGCTTCCTAATCACAAGACTTTCATGTAATTTAGTCCTTCAACATGAATCATGTGGATTGACTAGACATGGTTGCAACTTATCATTGATTCGATCCTCTTCATTTTTTGCTTTATTATATTAGAAAAATGCATTCTATCCTTCCTCTTGTCCCGCCTATATATAGTATAGCTCATTTGTAGAGACCACTTGGATATTAAGAATAGATAAAGATGGATCTAACTAATCATGGAGAGCAATACAGTGAGTTGCTACAAGCTGAGGTTCACGCATGGAACCACATTCTCAATTTCATAAAGTCCATGTCTTTAAAATGTGCCATTGATATAGGCATTCCTGATGTCATCCACAGCCATGGCTAGCTGCTCACTGTATTGCTCTCCAAGATTGGCTAAATCCATCTTTATCTACTCTTAATATTTGAGTTGTCTCTTCAAGTGAGCTATACTATCTATAAACGGGACAAGAGGAGGGATATAATGCATTTTTCTAATATAATAAAGCAAAAAACGAAGAGGAACAAAGCAATGATAAGTTGCAACTATGTGTAACCAATCCACATGATTCACGTTGAAGGAATAAATTACATGAATGTATTGTGATTAGGTAGCCTAAATTGATACAAAGCTTGCTTTATGCTTAAATAATCATATATTATAAATCAACCTGAATAACTTTAGGGGAAAAACGCAATGCTTATTAAAATAATAATATTGGGATAGTTTAAAATAATAAAGGACTCAAAAATGAACTTCAAGTGTAATCGAGTGTTCATTCCAGCTTTGGTAGAACAATTGGAATGGCCAATAGGAAGACGTGACTCCACATTCCAGCTTTGGTAGGCAGAACAATAAGAACGGCCAATAAGAAGATGTGACTTCACATTAAGAATAATGTACTTTTAAGCTAACCTGCTTGTCATTTTGGTATGAATATATATATATATATA